TGTGACATCAGCGGAGATTTCAAGGGTCATGTATTGGTCGTACACGGCACGATCGAGCTTCGACATGGTTTTGTAATTGAATAGGAAAGTGCTTAAGTGTCGATCTCCACGGCAAATTGCGCAATGGTAGCCAAAGATCGTCGCACCAGCATCTTGGGTGGGACGACATCTAAATATCTTTTCGTAAGGAAGTACTGATGAGTTGTGTTGAAGAGGTCAGCTCACTTTTTACATTTAGAGTTTAGGTTTATGAAAATTTGCATAATTTTGCACAATAACAGACTTTAATTAGTCTTGAAAGAAACCTTTAATACATGATATGCTGTAGGCTCTTTGATCGACGCGCTAATCGTCACGCCAATGAAATTTGATTTTTGTGGAAGATACTGTCTAGATTAAATCTGCTCTTGAGTAAACGTATGGTGAGAAAAATTGTTGAGAGGATACAGACAATGAGCTTTAATTGTAAGTGCAGCAGTTGCTGCATCATGAAGAACAGAGTGAAAATATGTCGTCGTCAAACATGTTCTGGTAGGCAAATGATCGGTTCTGATTAAGTAAAAGAGTGGATTTTTACCATGTATATTAAATAGCACGTGCAGTAAGTACGCCAAACTTAACATTAAGTAGTACTGTGTTTATTAGTTATAAAAGACCTCAACCTACAAAACAAACTGAGATACAGCATTACCCGTGTGAGAGCGGAGTGCTACAAATGATGTGCAGCATCTTGCTCATGGCAGGGCAAGCGTAGCTACAAAACGATTTGAATTTCTCGTCTTCAATGGCCAGACCAGAAAATTTAGACTGGGGAAATATTTTTTATATTTTGTTAAGCCCCCGAAGACAGTCGATGCTCGAAAGAAGTCATAGCATTTTGGAGGATATTTTTGTGTAACACAGTTAGTCAACCAGAGACTAGTGATCGCGCTCGTACAGGATGAGAGATTCTTGTCTTTTAAGACCAACGGCATTCCATGCTGTAGAATTTCTCTGCAGCGGAGCTACCGTAATTCTTTGCTTAGAGGAAGATTGCTAAGGTCACCGACATTACGTTCTTTACAAGAACCAGTTCGAGTGTAGCGAATCACAATCCGCTACGTCCAAGAGTACTTATAACCTTAGCCAAGGTAAAGACGATCTTCCGCTTGAAACTGAAAGTGTATTTAATCGTTCTAGTTGCGGCTGAGCCGCCTATATCTAGAACCTTAGTTTCCTCTAATAAATATGCATTACTACTGGCAGTCTTGCCACGTAGTGGCTTCTTGTGACGGTGTAGCCACACCATTGTTTGATTAAAACATTTGTATAATCCACACCTTTGTACGGTCACACCATCTTGTGTGACCCGCCCTTTCATACAAATATACGTGTAACTCCGTTACCCTCTGGATACATGTAACCATCTTACATCCTCCCCCATCAAAATTGTGAATACCAACAATTCACATTTAACTGTCGACTCTCGCGTGTCTGAGCAACGTTACGCTCATAAACACAACCTTGAACACTCTCCGCTCTATGAGCTCTGTGTCTACGACACTCAAAACACCCAGCCTAGCTGGCTCTGAGGGCACCCGCAGGCAAAAACCTTCTTTGCATCTCGGACCGTACGTCCGCGGTTTCACAAGAAGCACATCATAAACCCTCGGCAACAGAGCGCCACCGCCGCGCCCGCCTCGAGCGACAGATTTCCTCTTCATGGTTTTGAAGGAAGTTGACAACGAGTCGAACACTCCTTTTCCAGCATGGGAAGACGAAAAAGGGAAGGTGCTATTATTACCAATCGCATCCACAAGGGATAGGAGCAGCAGTTGAAGGCTGCCCGCAGGGCGGCTTCCATGCGCTCGTATCCACGTTCAGTCATAGACCCTCGTGTAAAATATGGTATCCGATCGGCGGACCCCGCTATTAAAGGAAAAGACGCGATCACTCGATCGTCAGGCGTCTACAAACTTGGGCCTAGGACCACTACACAAGATGAGCTTGACCAGCGGGAAGCTCTCCGAGCTCGCTTTTTAGTACCCGCAAGAAATCTAAATGGAAAGTTACCGCGCTAAACTTGAAGCTCATAGAGGAGGCGCTCCTTTACCCGCAATGCGAACTATTCCTGTACTGCTCACCCCTGGCAAAATCACTGCAGATGATTAAATGCCCTTTAAGCGATGGGTGCGGCGGCACCGAAAACTTTCCTCGCTGTGAAACATACAGCGGAATCACAAGGATGTGGACGAGAGTCTAGAACGCCATCTTTGATTTGAGTTTGCCAAACTCAAGGCGCAACGCCGACTTTCTGCGTATTGTCGCTCTGTGACCTACGGAAAGATCCATCGCGCTCCCGCTACCCCTGTGATTTCTCAAACGGGTGAGTCTACGACCGCAGCAGCTCAAGGCCATAGTTTGACCTCAGTTCATGGTCCTCCGGATCCCGGACTACTGCCGAGAAGCGTGGGGCGCACGACGACGCGAAGCGTCATGATCCTTCTGATCATAAGCGTCTACGATGTCTGGGCAGCGTCACCTCAAACTCCCACGAGTTCTCGGAGTCTGGGTATCCCCGCCCCTTCACAAGATTAAGTCAACGACGTCGACCCACAAGGCGTTCCACGTGATAGTGCCTTTCTAGGAATCGGCGTCGATGCCGAAATGATGGCAGCTTCGAGCTTAATTATGGTGTCGTATGAGGAGACTTGCTCTCACGCACCATTCCTGAGGCATGCTTCGAACGGAAGAAGCCGTTAATGATATCCCTTTGCTCCTTGGGCAGGAGCCATTGGCGTGTTACGAAGTATTTGGTTCCCGGAGCCAGATCGATCTCATGACGCACACCTCGGTCGGGAGGTAGGGCCGACGGTGGGTCTTTGGGGACGACGTCTTGCAATTCTTTTATTAAAGGATAGTACGGATCCGAGGATTTTTTCAGGACTGAAGATCCACTGCGTGTGCTCAGCACCCTCTTGGTGACCTCCAGGACACTTTCATCCAGAAGCGATGACGAGTTGATCTCCTACTCCGGTCGTATAAAGACCACTTCGGCAATTCGCCTGCCTTCAAGGCACCGCCGAAATCTTTGAGGGACATCTTGTCTAGCTCAAGAGGGTCCTCCACAGCAGAAACAGCCTTGAGGTTGACGTTACAATTTCCACCCCGTCATACCGTTGACGAGGGTTTATAGCTGTGCGAGATCGTCTACGGTAATAAAATCCTAGGTCAGGGTGGACACCCGGCGTCTTGCAGTGAGACTCCTCAAAGATATTTTACGTCTTGCCAATGATGCCTTGGGCCTCGTCCGAACATTCTACTATTGGCAAGCAGCAGCTGCTTCGTAACGTGAGCAGTGCTCAGTGGATTACTTGCCACTCCACGTGCATCACTGGGGCCTCGCCCTCGATACTTTGGCCTTGGCCAACCATGCCACTCTTGGCATGCAACAACGACTTTGATACTTGTACAGTGCTCAGTGGTTGACGTGCCACTCCACGTTTAGCCCGCGAGCCATGCTCGGGACTACTGTCCGATACTTCTTCGGTGTTCGACAACTCGGATACTCCGATCTCCAGCACGTTGACTGTCCCGGTCCAGTGCCCGCGCCTATAGTTTTTTTTCTCATGGTAGTGGTGGGTTCATGACTCACCAAAGCTCCACCAAGAGACGTGCGCGTAGCGCCCAAAGTCTTCGCTCTTCAATCGATCCTTAGCTCATGGTGTTCCAGCCATGCCGCACCAAGGATGAGGTCATACCTTGAATCCAAGTCTAAGACTAAGCGGTGTTTCACGCTTTCAAAGTCAAGATACCTGAGACCGAGGTCCACAAAGACCCTCGGCACAGTGATACAAGTCCTCGTTGCTAAGCGAACAGTGATGGTGCCACTTGACCGCGCTTCCAGCGCTTCAGCATACAGCTGACTTCCTTCGATCGTGGAGCGTCAAGCATTATAACCCGACATCCCGGAGTCGATGAGGATTATCCATGGCTTCTCAAGGCCCTTCACGGTTGCTTTCGCGACCAGCAATCCCGGCTTTCATACACGCTCCGTGTTCAAGAGCGCGAAGCTCTTCGGGGCTGGGCTCTGCTTTTCGCTACCTCTTTGAGGCTCAACAGATCTCAGATCTCCCCAGTAGGGCGCCTCGCGCCTATTGGGTGTTCTCGTTTCCCCGCAACAAACCATTCTGGTTTGAAGTGGGACTTCGCTTTGACGAACTTTTACGCACCTTGCGCACGAAACAACCAGTCCGACGGTGATGGGGGTCTCCTTAGACAAAACACAGTCGGGTGATCAAGCCCTGCTCGGCCGCTCGGAGCTCTCTTTCCTCTTTCTCAGCATAGCTGATATCCATTGGCTCAGATCCATTCCACGAGCTCTAAGGGTGTGCATTCCAACCAAGTTGTGTCGACTTGAAGTTGAATTCGCCATTAAATGCCATGTTCACCGATTCTTAAAAAGAAGACCAATGCACACGGAAGATTTCCATACTGGCCACGCCAGTGCGAAAGTCCTCGATAAAGACGGTCACTGCGACCGCCACGGGGAGAGGATCGGCTGCCATCCCAGCAATGATGGTGATTCTTCTTCTCCACTCTTGGAAACGCGACTGCACGCGATATGCCAGATTAGGCGGCGAGAACACTCGCTTAAACTGACGCTTCTGCTTTTTCCAGGAGGGAGAGGCAGCTCTGACAGAAGCACCGCACGAGAGTGCCTATTCTTGCGCTCGGCCCCAGAGCTTGAAGATAGCTAGCGCCACGCGCTGTTGCTCGTTTTGGACCATGGCGGATGCCATAGCCGTTTCGGCCTCTCTCACCCAAAGCAAAAGATTCTCTCTATACTTACCCTCATCAGTTCTTACGCTCACCATGAGCGGCTTGGTTCGGAAAGAATAATCCGGCGTTGACGGCGGCGTCACGGACGCAGTCGAAGCTGACAGTTTCTGCTGTAAATGCTTTAACAGAGAATTTTCATACTTTCAAAACGCCTCAAGGCGCGCGCTTATCGCCTCGGGCCCTTGCGCAACAAAGTTCTCTGCGCCTTCAGGGCCCAGCGGGGACATCAGCTTATTTAGCCCGTCATGCATGCCCTGGGGCAAATAGGAGTATCCTTCCATCCTCACAGAGGATAAGTCGTAACGACTCAGGCGTATATTGAATACAAGTGCTACCAAGTGCAGCGGGGCTGTCGTAGCTCTATGGTTAGAGACACTTTACTAAGGGCATTACCATTAGGTTCTTTACAAGAACCAGTACGAGTATAGCGGATCGCAATTCGCTACCTCCAGGAGTACTTTAAACCTTAGCCAAGGTAAAGACTCTCTGCCGTTCAAAATTAAGGGTGTATCTAATTGTTTTAGTTTGCGGCTGAGCCGCTAATATCTAAAACCTTAGGGTTTTCTAATTAATATAGTGATACCTAATAGATATGCATTACAACTGGCAGTCCTGCCACGTAGTGGCTTCTTGTTACGGTGAAGCGACACCATTGAGTGATTGAACCACCTTGTGAATTTAACACCTTTGTACGGTCACATTATCTTGTGTGACCCGCCCTTTCATACAAGGGTACGTGTAACTTCGTTCCGCTTTGGGAACACTTAATCCCGTTACATTCTCAATGTTTATCTGGAAGCTTAACAGAGCATTCGACACTTCAACCAGTGTGTCCGTAGCGAACGCACGGATACGGTACCAGCATTGGTATCGGAGCTTTCTACAGCTATGCAAAGTCCAGTTCGTTGCTATCAGTGACAAACAAACGTCATCTGTTAGTCCCTTCCTATCTTTGATAGAGTCGCTCTCATTTGGGTCGAATTCAATTGAAGTCGTTCTAACGTAGAATGAACGAGCTCATCTCTCTGTTCCTATTAGCAATCGATATTCACTCGCGTGGTCTCTGTTGATCGGTCCTGCGTAGGAGCTCGTACATTTATGTATATCAACCTCAAAGAGAGACGTCGGCTTGCGGGGCGTCGATTATTCATATGACCATAGATTCTGGCTAGCATTTACAACGACACTGTCAGCAACTGAGGAACTACGTGTAACATCCATGAATTAGCCAGATCCTACCGCGTCGGACGCGCTCGTTAAGCCTCCAATTATGTAACTTGTGCGACAAAGAAGATGTTTTTCGCATTAACGGGACACTTGCCGCACACATAAAAGATGTTAAGTGAACGCGGAACGTCTCTCTCTGTACGAGGCTTACTGACGACGAGGTTCCGCACATAAGCAACAGATTAAATCTGGCACATCAAGCGTATGATAGGCGCTACAAGCATTGAAGTTGTCGCTCCAGACGAAATATCGTCCTAATTACTAATTTGGCTTATCAAGCAAAACAGCTCTCCATGCTGCGACAAAGCCCTTGCGCGTCATTGCATACCGGCTTTACGCTCGGGCAGAGTGCGAAATGTTTGCTCGAATGGGGCTTCGCGGGCGCTATTTGATTTTTCAAGTCATCCTACTTTAGAAGTACCGCTCAGAGAACCAGCAGCTAAATAAATTTGTACTTTCCACCGAACACGATCCTCGGTACAGAATAATGGCAAGAGTCCCGAGATTTATTGTATTCGTTAGGTAAAGAAGGCACGTCACCACAACAAATTTGTGACATGCAAACCCGTCTCAGTGGCGAGGACGTCTGACTTAATTGCCAAACTTTGTAAATGAGTAGCATAGACGAACACGTCGAGGTAGATGCTGACATCGGCCCTGCATATTTATGTGAGCATGATTGTGCAGCTAACGTCAAAATTTTAAACTTACGAAAGGTGTCATTCAACTCATTTCCGATCACGACCAGTTATGAGCGCAACTTGGTTTGTAAACCCGAATATCGTACGTGAGATAGGCAGCAACGTTTGGAAATACCATTTAGCTCACTATAGAAAAATGCTGTATTCCGTCGGTCTCTGGAATTTACGTATCGCTTTTCACATCATGGCCTTCCATTTTCGCATCGCTTTTTCGCACCCTGGCCCTCAGCCAATGCGTTGTGCAATCGGCGCATGACTTTCAATAGTCAGGTAAAATTTTCAATTTGTTTCAAAGTGCGGCAGGGTTTGTATTATCAAGCCTAAGTTTTAGGCGATCCCTCTTCCGCCAAGTCCGAGACTACTTCGTGGCGGTTTCATCAGAATACGGAAATCAATTAAGCCATGTTCGAGTATCAGGTGCGAGTCTGCAGAGCCGTGATCTGGCAATTCAGCGTCAACTGGAAACGAAAGAGCATTTTATTTGTCTCTCGACAAAAGACCCTTGCTTCATGTACGCATTCACGCGATTGATGCGTTTCGTCTGGCTATCTATTTAGCATCGACAGTGGGTATGTTAAATCTAGTGCCAAAAATTTTGAGCAAAGTTCACCAGAATTTCATTGTGAAGCGCGTATCTAGGTTACCGTAGTGCCGTTACTTTTATAAGGCCTAAAATGAAGTCCATATTTCTAAAGCAGGGTAGACACCGGCTAATCCCTCGCCGATCATATGCGGCGAGGGATTAGCCCGTTATCACATTTCCCATGTGCGCTCATATTTGTTTAAGATAAAACGATATGTGTTTAAACTTTGATGCAGCAGTCGACAAACTATCCAAACGTGCCAAATACATTCCAACGCAGTCAACTGCTGATGTGCCAAGTATAGCCAGATTATTTTTCGATGAAGTCGTTAGCCATCATGGATTGCCCGCAGTTATCATCAGCGATCGGGATTCAAAGTTTACAAGCGGATTTTTGGAAGTCATTGATGAAAGTAATGGGAACCAAGCAGTTAATGACGACTGCTGGAAGAGCTCAAGCTGATGGAGCCAGCGACAAAATTGAACCTTGGAAGATTCGTCACGCTGTCAAGTATCGTACCTTGGAGAAGATTGGGCAGATCATCTTGCGACGATAGAA